TATATATTTATATTCATTTTATGGTAGATATTCATATTCATTTTAGGGGAAATCTTCATATTCATTTTAGTGTAGATCTTCTTATTCGTTTTAGGGTAGATATTCATATTCATTTTAGGGTAGATCTTCAAATTCATTTTAGGACAATGTTCATAATTAGTTCATGTACATGTTCATTGTTCATTATTCGTTCATGTCTAATGTACAAAATCATCTCCTTCTCTAAGTTCTTGTCCCTGTACATGTTCTTTGTTATGTCCAACATAGATTTTCATGTCTATTTCTAGGCTCCTGTTTAATGTTCATGTCATTGTTCATGTTTATGATATTTTTTCTGTAAAATTCCTTGTTCATATTTACTGGATAAATTTGTAAATATTTACATGAAAGCATAGCCTAATAAGGTAAATATGTGAGTACAAGGAGACAGGGTCATGTTTCTGAATGTTTGAAGTCTGTATATGTTGTATATGTTGTATATGTTGTGTATGTTGTATATGTTGTATATGTTGTGTATGTTGTATATGTTGTGTATGTTGTGTATGTTGTATATGTTGTATATGTTGTGTATGTTGTATATGTTGTATATGTTGTGTATGTTGTATATGTTGTATATGTTGTATATGTTGTGTATGGATAAGATATGCTGAACTTGTTTACAACCTTACTTCGTGATTATTAGTAACCCCTAGGCTTAACAAGACATCATATTTTTATTCAAATACTCACTCCACATACATACTCTGTCCGGCAGGAAGGACAGGTATTAGAACTAATATGACACCCAATTTATTCATTTTTGAAAATGAAAATGTCATATTTAGTTTTGTCCTGACCGCTTATATCCAATACGGTCCAGTCCTGTTTTTTTCATTCCTGTCATATATACAGTCATGTTCTGCCATATATCCTATCCTATCCTATCCTATCCTATCCTATCCTATCCTATCCTATCCTATCCTATCCTATCCTATCCTATCCTATCCTATCCATTACAGTTTTATTCTATCCTATCCAAACCTATTCTGTCCAATCCAGTCCTGTTATGTCCTATCCAAACCTATTCCTTCCTATCCAGTCCCGTTATGTCGTATGAAAACCTTTTCTGTCTAATCCAGTCCTGTTATGTCCTATCCAACCCTGATCTGCCCTATGCAGTCCAGTCCTGTCATTTTCTGTCCTGTCCAGTTTTGTTTAATGTCCTGTATGCAAACATTCACGATTCACGTTGTAAACCGTCTTCTACTTGTAACAATATGATTTTGAGGTTAAAGGTCCGAGGAGTACAAGGAAGAAGGAATACAAGGTTAACCATTAATATCCTATCCATCCCTCGATCCCATCTGTAGCACATACACTTTTATCTTTACTACCCGTACTGTATATTTATGGGATTTAAATCAAGATAAAATCTCTAAGCTGGATACCTTCAAGTTTAAACATATTCTATAAACTTTAAAATAAGTGAATAAATTTGCTGACTTCTCAATACCAATACCAATGAATAATTTACTATAATTTTCATCGTCAAATAAAATGTTTGAGTGTAAAATTGATTGCATAACTTGCCATAAAAGTATTTCTATCTTAAAAGAAAAATTCTTGTTTTCTTTGGTATTAAAATTTTCATAATTGGTATGGGAAATAGCGAAAAGTATTTACATTCCAAGGGGTTTGTAAGATCAGTCTTTTATCCAACAAAAAAGTAAGCCTAGACAGCATTATTTTCTTAAATGTAAACGTGTTAAGCTATTGACATAATGAAAAAAAAAATCAAATAAGTTGTATTTACCAAGTCAACCACTACCCTACCCCATCCCATCTTATCCCATCTTATCCCATCCCAATCTTATCCATTCTTGTCCCATCTTGTCCCATCTTATCCCATCCCAACTTATCCCATCCCATTTTATCCCATCCCATCTTATCCCATCCCATCTTATCCCATCCCATTTTATCCCATCCCATCTTATCCCATCCCATTTTATCCCATCCCATTTTATCCCATCCCATTTTATCCCATCCCATTTTATCCCATCCCATTTTATCCCATCCCATCCCATCTTATCCCATCTTATCCCATCTTATCCCATCCCATCTTATCCCATCCCGTCTTATCCCAACCCGTCTTATCCCATCCCGTTCTTATCCCATCCCATCTTATCCCATCCCATATTATCCCATCCCATCTAATCCCATCCCATTTTATCCCATCCCATTTTATACCATCCCATTTTATCCCATCCCATTTTATCCCATCCCATCCCATCTTATCCCATCTTATCTCATCCCGTCTTATCCCATCCCGTCTTATCCCATCCCGTCTTATCCCGTCCCGTCTTATCCCATCCCGTCTTATCCCATCCCGTCTTATCCCATCCCATCTTATCCCATCCCATCAATTATCCCATCCCATCTTAACCCATCCCATATCCCATCCCACCCCACCCCATCCAATCCATTATATTAAATTCAACCCAGTTCCAACAATTTCCGATTTCAACCAGTCGCAACGATTTTGACGCTTAAATGGAACCTTGTTGTTTTGACCGAGTATTCTGAGAATGCGGATACCATTTAGAAAAGTTTTCAAATATTCACATTCACTACATCAAACACATTCAAACCAAGCTAAAGCCCTTCAAATTGATGAATCTGAAATAATCGATTTTTTGTCATATTTTCACACGGATTTGGAAAAAAGTTGTTAATCGATTGAACAATAATCATCTTTTGTATGGACAGACCACAAATATCTCAGGCTGGTTGATTTCTTCGTATTCAACTTGTTTAAGCGTATTATTATTTCCTCCATTTTCATATTTATGTGTAACATTTATTTTCAAGTTGGCTCAGTTTCATTTGCCATAAGTAACACTTGTCAAAATGGTTACATTTGCAAAAACAGATAAATACCATTATTACAAATATATTAAAAAGGTTAGGTTATGACTTCTAAGGAGCCACAGGCTACAATGGGGCCGAGCGCTGAAGCTAATACAGATAAAAGAATCGATAAAAAAAAAACGTAAAAAAATATGAAAAATCTAGCCATTATAGCAATATTACGACAAATGAAACTGATCCTTAAAGTTACAGTTTAGTAATGTGAATACTGACAATAAATTTTAAACTAAGAAATAATTAATTTCAAGAAACCGACAACCCCACAAGGGGGAAATTGACATGAAAAATGAGACTACTGTAACATTGTTTCAAAAATCACAAAAAAAGTTTTCCTACCCCCTCCCCTCATAAGATGCGGGAGAGAAATGAATTTTGAAGAAAAATATATATCCCTGTAAAACATATTAGTTTTTATAATCTTTTAGTACAAAATAATGACAACTTGAAATCTAAGTTGTCATGTTCATTGATTACCCCCCTCCCCCACCCACCATTTCATTCTCATTTAACGGGTGCACAATGCACATATATTGAAGTAGATTCAGGGATTTATTCAGTAAAAGAACGCCATAATTGTATTTGAAATGAAGAATTTTTATTATAATAACTTAGATAGTAAGAATTTCAAGTAATTGTCCACTGAGAAGGTCAAATTATTGTAAAAAAAGGTAAAATTGTTTAATAATATAAGGATAAGGATATCAAGGACGGTTGTCAAATTAAAATATTTCCTCCCTCGTTTTATAACTTAGTATTCTGAACTTTATACAAGCCAATAGGGCGTGGTCAAGCAGTACATATTTAAGGTTGGGAGCTGAGTATGTAAGGTTGGGAGCTAAATGAGTAAGGTTGGGAGCTGAGTAAGTAAGGTATGAGATCTAAGTGAGTAAGGTTGAGAGCTAATAATTAAGGTTTGAGAGCTAAGTGAGTAAGGTTAGGAGCAGAATAAGCAATGTTGGAGCTAAGGGAGTAAGGTTTGAAGCTGAGTGAATAAGGTTTGGAGCTAAGTGAGTAATATTGTGAGCTGAGTATGTAAGGTTATGATGTGAGTATGTATGGTTGTGAGATGTAAAGTTAGGAAATGAGCATGTAAGGTTGTGATCTGATTATGTAAGGCTGGGAGCTAAGTAAGTAAGGTTTGAGAGCTGAGTGAGTAAGGTTGGGAGCTGAGTTAGTAATGTTGGAGCTAAGTGAATAATGCTGGAAGCTGAGTGAGTAATGCTAAGTGAGTAAGAATGGGAACTGAATGAATAATGTTTGAGCTAAGTGAGTAAGGTTAGGAGCTAAGTGAGTAATGTTGGAGCAATGTGAGTAAGGCTGAAATCTAAGTAATGTTGGTAGCTGAATAAGTAATGTTGGAGCTAAGTGAGTAATGTTGGAGCAATGAGAGTAAGGCTGAAATCTAAGTAATGTTGGTAGCTGAATAAGTAGTGTTGGAGCTAAGGGAGTAAGGTTGGGAGCTAAGTAAGGTTTAAAATACAATTAAAAATTCAATGTGAAATTTATATGAAGGGAATGTGTAATTTCCATGGATAAAAGAGTTCTGGACAAGGAGCTGGGTATGGAGTGGGTAGATGGATAGATGAAGGTTGGAGACAGTAGTGTGGACAGTAAGATTGAGATCTAAGATTAGAAGTGAATGATTGAAAAGTCTGGATATATTACTAACTGACGAATGTTGAAAACAATACAAGGAAAAGATTAAAATCAAAAATTGTGTTGATTTGATTAATTCAAGGCTTGCAAGAGGAAAGGGCGAATTAAATTGAGAAGAAATAGAGTGTGGAAGATGTTTATAATGAAATTCAGAGGATTGAGGATTGAGCTAAAAAAAAGTTAAATTCTAAAGAGATGAGAAAATATGCCAATGGGTAGGAGGGAGATTGAGGAGCTGCTGGGTTTTGCTACTAAATGCTCCTAATGAATATAACCTATCTACATTGTATGTTGTAAATACCTGAATACCGTCCATAGCGTGGGGGGCGGGCGAGGGGGTGGAGCAAAGAGAAGTATTTGTGTTGGGGGAACTCTCCCCCTCTACAACAGAGTTTAAGTTTTCATCAACTTCTCTGCTCCGGAGCTTTAATTCGTCCTTGTTCTTGCAGCTCACTCGTCTGAAATTAGAAAAACATTACACAATAAACTAGAGGCCAAGAGGCAGAATTTTAAGTATTTGAGCCGCGGCTTAAATTTGATTTGCGACTCAAATATGGTTGGTTCTACTTGAAATTGTATTCAATGTTTCACGATTTAAGCCGGCGCTCAATTTAAAACCGGGTTTAGGCGGATTTGAGACGCGGCTTAACTTCTTCAAATTCGGACACAGGTTATTAAGCCAGTAAGCCTTAACTTTGGAACCCATTTTCACCCTCTAAAATAAGTTTTTGTTATCTGCTTTTGTACTTTTTTGTTTGACAAGATCTTCTAAGTATTTAAAGTATTTTTTAGCTATTTTTGACAGATTATAAATAAGCGATAAAAAGACTGAAAATATGTCAATACAGACATTTAGATGTAGTTTTACGTGGTTGGATAGGTTAGAAAAATAACAAACCAATGATTTCCATAATAAATCAATAAATAATGAAACGTATTGCAAATTTTTTTATTTCAATCTCTTCTATACATTTTGCTGCTAACTTAGCATACTTATTTGTATTCCTATTGGCAACAGGAGTATAAATCTGTATAATAAGTTGCTTTAAAGTGACAGTAAGCGTAATTTCAAGTGAACCTCCATGCAAAGATAGAAAAGCAAGAATCACAACAGTACTGTTAAATACCTTTGTCTGATCAATAATGTGAAAGATGCCTGAAAATTATATATATTTCTAACGTAAAAATACGTGAGTCACCTTTTTAGAGGAACCACAATTTTTTCAGTTTCCAAAATTTTAAACAATAATATCTAATTGTTGTAAATTGGACATTGCCATATTTACATGGCGGGTCACTTGAAAAAACGCTTACAGTCCCTTTTATGTTTTTATAAATAAGACTACTGTATAATATAAGATCGAGAAATTTTTGGCTTGAGTAGGTGACATCGTTGAAGAGCAAAATATAAATGAATATTCAGACAGGTTTCAGGGTGTGTGCAGGGGAACCAAGATGTTTTTGCAAAAACGACGGACAGAATGCAGTTCAATAGGAGCGTGCAGAGATGTAAAGATGGAACGGATAGGAGAGAGGTTTATTAAATATAATTTATATACAAATTAAAACACTAGACAGTAGGCAACTACAGCTGTATATTCGCTACTCATATCAAACCTAGAGCTATTTAAAATTACAACTAGACACACTCTTAATACTCCTAAATCTAGAAAGGAATATCCTAAAAAACATAAACCTGGTGTAATATTTAAAGGCATGATTGCTCCTACAGAACTCTTCACACCTTTCTCCGGGTTAGGGCAGTATAGGGAAGCTGGAGATTTGACATTGCACCCCAGATCTTTCTAGAATACAGACGTAGAGTTTAATCTCCCGTTTGTATAATAATGCTGGTGGACTTGCATAACAGACAGTTAACAGACAGCTAACAGATAGATATATCTTTATCTTGCCTATCAGGAAACTAAGTAGAACACTGGCCTCCTTCCACCTCATTAAGCAGGAGTATACACCCTCGGAGTCCTCCACATCACTGAGGATATCAGAGAACGCTCTTTACTCTCCAGCTGGTTTAAGAGAGACAAACACAAGGGTTCACAATGCTCGTTTGTAGACCTCATCAATAGATTCATCTCCTGTAGCTTCTAGAACTGGACCAATTGCTCTTGTCCAGCCCGTCTGAACTACCCATTGGGATATCCTGGATACAGAGGAGAACTAGGATACCCAAGATATCAGATGCTGCCTCATCCTTAAATTAGAGACGCTGATCTTTACAGACAGCTCTTCACATATCTGGCGCAGCTAAAAGATCCAGTCAGACTTAGGAATCCAGGAGCAGAAGCTTAACCTGATACTGGAGACGCTGCTCTTTACAGACAGCTCTCCACATATCCATTATAGAAGAACAAGATGATCTTGATACAGGATATGCTCCTCTTCACAGACAGCTCTCCACATATCTGTTGAAGAAGAAACCTAGAAAACTTTGGGACAAGAGACGCTGCTCTTTACAGACAGCTCTTCAAAGACCTGTTGTAGAAGCAACTGAGGAACAAGATAACCTTGAGCCAAGAGACTCTAGGAGCAGCTCCGGTAATGAACAGCTAACATAGCTAAGACTCGAGGAGCAGCTCCGGTACTAAAGGAAGCAACTAGGAATGTAGTGGAATCATCCCATATTGTAGGAGCAGCTAAAGTAGCAGAGACTCTGGAAACAGCTAGAGTAGCAGCTAATATTGCAGTGAAAGAGATAATGAACTAGAGCAGCTAAACGAGATATCGAGTTGAGGAAGCTGCCTAAGTAGATACTGAACTGGAGCAGCTAAACGAGATATCGAGTTGAGGAAGCTGCCTAGATAGATACTGAACTGGAGCAGCTAAACGAGATATCTAGTTGAAGAAAATGCCTAGATCGATACTGCACTGAAGCAGCTTAACAATATATTGAGATTGAGGAAGCTGCTCAGACTGACACTGAACTGGAACAGACGAACCACAGTTTCTTAGATACCATAGAGAGCCGATTTGACAAGAAATAACCTTAAACAGATGTATTTAGATCAATAAACTGAAAAGCTGATAAATCCCATTCATTCATACTCTGAGAGACATATATAAAGAACATTAAAGGGGTTTATGAAATAAGGTACGGGGACTTAGAGAAAGACATTTGTACACACCCTAAACAGAGGGAGCAAATGATTGATCTCAAAGATTTATGTCTGTAATTGTAATCGATATAATAAAGTTAATCATTACACTGGCTATGTCTGTGTTTCAAACCTAGACCTGAATACCCTAATGAACCTGAACGTGGATACTTTAACTAAACCTGAAGGTCTGGTTACTCCTGCTATCCTTGTCATACACCTACCTGGAGTCCTAAGGATCACCAATCAAGTAAACAAGTAAATAAACCTAGACCTGGATATCCTACTCAACCTAAACCTGAACTAGAAGACCTGAAGGTTTGGATACGTTTATCTAAACCTAGATACTCCTACTGAACCTAAGATATTCCTAGTAAACCTAGATCTCAAATATGCTCCATTAAACTGAAATCAATAAGCCACACTATACCAATATATTACTATCAAAACTACACCTAAATCTAGATTACAGACAGGATAATCCAATTTACATTGGATTATATTGACTAAATTATTGCCATTGGTAGAGTATAAAATAGATGTCGACCAAAACTTCGGAGTATATTTACTATCCTGGATATAAGACACTCCCAAGGATTGAACAAGTGTATCAACTATTATAAAACTCCCACTAGATTTTACCACGATAAATCTAACAAATAAAATTAGTTCCGACTCTTATCAGATAAAAAGTTGAGAACATGAAGGAAAAAGCGCACTTTCAAGTGACCCTCCATGCAACGATGATAATGCCTGATTCACAAGTCTGCAGTAGATATTAATGTTTATCATTTTGAAAACTGATTATTTTCAATTTTGGTTTCTAACAATCCCTCGAAACTTCAGAGAAGTTTTTAAAAAGGGGTATAAAGATTCCAGGAAAAAGGGTATGGCTACTGGCCAGGCAATAAAGAATGCGAAATAGCTAATTTTAAAACACGGAAGGATCAGGTTGTTTTCTGGATATACAGCATGAAGGCAGCGCTAATAAGAAGGTTTTTAGAGACATAATTTACAGAGAAAACTGTGTGTGGATACTAAAGGAATTTAAAGACAGGGACCGAACCCTGTTTTTAAAACCAGAATTAATTCCGATTCTCGGAATTAGATAAACAATTACTGATTTATATTCCAAGAAAATATAATTAAAACAATGATATAAAGTATGTAAACTGAACCTTCAGAAAACCAGGTATCCGTCCTAATCTTGAATCAACCCTGTCTGACTGAGATTGGATGAAGGAGAGAAAATGAATAAATAGTTTGAAAGGTTTATGACCTGGACCCACTGCTTGTATATATCTACACCACCCTGAGAGAAACATTGAACCTTGTATCTCCTCCCTAACCCACACACACAATATAGATAAACTTGATATTCATTATTTAACTAAATATATGGGATTAGACTGGATGCATGCATATCAACCTGATCCTTTACTTGCATGTAAACCCATAAACTTCGAGGCTATTTCAATTTCAGATTTGTTAAACCTTCTCAAAATATAAGATGGTATAATGAACAGGTATACATGTACAAATAAATAAAGATATAAAAATATATTAGTAGAACTAGTGCCAACATAAATTGAAGCCAAAATTTGATTAAACTAATTTATCATTATCAACTCCAATTGCATTGAACCAGACAGAAACAAGGAAACAAAACTCCAAAAACAGTACAGTGGTCTCAAAAACAATGTGGATTTACAGGTCAAAGATATCAATTTAAAGTTTAAATATCACAGCAACGAAAACTGTTCAATGTATCTGTAGCGCTCAAATATTGTAATTCATTTTTTTAATAGAATAGAAACTAACTTTTTCACAGATGTCGATTTTTTACAGATATTTTTTTCTCACTTTCCCACATTTAGTAATTTAAAACTAATAAACCAATTTTAAATAATCGGAAATTGTTTGCATTTACAACTTAGAAGAATTCATCATTTCTTTAGATACTTTATCGATAACATCTTGTATCGTGGTTGAAACCTGAAACTGAACCATAAACCAGAATATTTACAAGGGAAACCTGATAAATGCTGGTTTTCTAACAGTGTTTAAAGTCAACCCTGATCTAACCAGAGCCTGGAGTAACTACGGATAGAAATAAGCCCCCTACCTGATAATGTTTAGGTTTTCTCCCCTCGCCCGCTGAAGATCTGAATATTTAAACTTAAGAATGGTTTGTTGTGTGTGGAGTAGAGTGAAGAACTGGAACTACTCCTGTATACAGGGTACACTGCCTCCAGCTACAGGTGACCACTCTCTACCTCTCACAAGACACCGGGTGCCCTGGGAAAATAATATCATTTTAATGTGTGGTAAGTAGGGTGGAGGGTAGAGCAGGGGGGGGGGGATATCAAAGCCTTACTAATTGCATTCTCTAGTTTAAAGACATCATATTTTCTAAGATATAGGTTCATCGTCCTTACTCCGGGTACCCAAGTGTACTGGTAACTATAGTAGATCTTATATAAAAGATCAGAGGAATCCTGGTTCAACATACTCAACTCTTCTTAGAGAAAGAAAACTAACAAGAAATAAAATAAATAATTGAAATGTTACAAAAAGAAGAAGAATCGGTTTGTGAGTATACCTCTAGGGACATAAGCAGTAAGCATAGATTAGAACTGTTAGAGTTAGATAGTAAACTAGGCATTTTTTCCTTATTTCTTATTCTTGTCTGGAAAGTTTTATTAAGTAAAATATTATAAGTGGGAACTTAATAAGTAGTCATATTTTTCTACGAGACCTTGTCATGTTTCGATCAAGTCTATTTCGAAAAATTAGTGGTAAGGGTTATTGACATAGAAGAAAATTTTTTTGCGGATTTAAAAAAATAATTCGCGGATTTTCAAGAATTAAATTTTTTTTACAAAATTAAAAACATTTAAAACACAGTTTTTTTAAAATTTTTGTCATTCATAAACCTTCCCTGTGGTCACGTGATGTCCCACACAAAATTGGGCTTGATCGGTTCAGCAGTTTTGACGTTTATTGGATACAAACAAACAGACAGACAGACAAGCCAAGTTTATATATAGATTAATTCTTTAATTAGATTTCTAAAATCATTCATAACCGAAATTTAAAAAAATAAGACTTTACAATTTCAATTTTTGTTGAATATTTGAAATGACCTCCAGTAAATGACAAGTTTACAAACTTCAAGTTCAAGTTAGTTATGTCTTTAGTGACAAAAAGTTCAAGTCGTCTGTAACTTATTAGTTGAGGCATGTTTGTATGTGTCACTGTATTTAAAATTTGACAATGTCAAATCATGACTTTTGATGCATGCAAATTGCAAATCAAGGGATATAATTTGCAAACTTAAATAAACTTATTTTATGTGCAAATAAATCTTCGAATTCAGATCATTCTGTTTATAAACTAGGGAAGTAGAAAATTTTAAGTACAAACTTCTTTTGCTATTGTTCTCAATATTTAACATATTATACACAGAATACAAAAATAAAAACTTTTTTCGGGATTTCATTAATTCACTAAATTAACTAATATAATTAATGCACTTACACGGCATGTTTTAAGTGTCCGAACCAAGTAGTATAAGCGCCGTGTGGCGCATTCTACTCGGCTGTGCACAATATCTTACTGACAGTTCTCACACGCGCGCATTTTCTCAAACTAGCGGCACTAGCGATGCCGGAGCCGTTCCTGTGCATATCAGGACATTTTGCTCTAATCGGATATACCAGCGGAGTTTAGAGTTGAAAATATGTTTAAGCAAATATATCGCACTTTGGATTACAGTTGCTCTGAAGGTATTAATATGTATCACATCATTTTTTCATAAATTATGACTTGAAAAAAAAAATATATTATTTCAATGTACAATGTACAATGAGTATAATTAGGAAATCGTAGAATTGTAGAAATAAGGAAGAGTAGAACTGCTTTAACAAGGAAGAGTAAAATTTTATCAATAATAAGGAAGAGTTATTGCAATACCTAAGAGCATTTGATTAAATTACAAATTACAAATCAAATAAATTTACCAGTGACTCAAATCAGTTATTAAGTTACCACACACACAGATACATATTTCTTCTGACACTCTGACACTTGATGAGAGGCTTGTGCTTAAGAACAAGTATTTAAAATAGAGAAGATTAATCTTAATAGTCATCCTTTATGCTTCAGCACAGACATTCAACATAATCTTAATTAGAGAATATAATTCAGGATTAAGGGATTAGGAGAGTATTTGAAGAAATAATTAGAAAGTTTAAGAAATATAAGAAGAGCAATGTTATTTCAGACTCCTCCCCTTGAATAAACCATTCTTTCAACAGATCAATGTTTTATTTTTACAGTATCCCTAGTGCACAGTTAACATTGCAGAGTACAGACTGTACACTAATGTACAGTACACACTGTATACTGTAAAGAAAACGATAGTTACTGTACAGTACACAATGTATACTGTAACGTAAACAATAGTCACTGTATTGTATACAACTATGTACACTACACTACACACACAGTACAGTGTACAGTCTACATCACCAACTGTTTACTGTCCAATACACAATGTCACTGTACAGTATAACCGTACACTTAGTTGAAACCCTGAAACCTTCATCAGTTGAATAGTTTGTCACCATATTAGCTGGTTGAATGTTGAGTACGTAGTGTATTTAAATACCTTTGCATAAAATATACATAAATATTTTCCAATCGTTCTCAGCATTCGTTTTAGCATTCACAATTTCAATATTAGTGTTTACGGATTCCTTCAACTTTTTGTCATCCAAACATCTACATTCTCTGTTTTTGCGAAACATTTTTTATCTACACAATAAATACCATTTCCTCAAACATAGTTAAAATAATTTGTTCACGTACCATACCATACCATTAGTTCTCTTTCACAACATAATTTTCCCTTTAATATTACTTTTTTCTTTTAATTACATTATAATTAACAACATGAGAGGTTTCATCTTAAATTTTTTTGTTGTTGCAACAACAAATTGTAAATTATAGAGGTTTTGTGAAGGTATGAATTTCAGTATAAATGACCGCATATCCCCAAATAGTAGTACCCACCTACAATAAACCTTAGAAATACTTGTCCAGATGTGACATTTCATTTATTCGAGAAGAACAATTAACATTTTCATATTTGTTTGTACAATATTCTTCAGATTCTTAAATTCCCTCCAACCACACTAATCCTCTATAATTGATTATCAATTAAATACGTCCTGTGAACTGGACCCTAAACCTTGAACTCCTCCCTCCCGTACACCGGTCCTTCATCTTTTAGTACCATATCACTCCAACACCCCTCCCCACTCCCCACGGGGCATCCATCTTCTAGACCTATTCTCCCCTTACAACCATTCCTTTTTAATCCCCACTCCCCAGCCCTCTAACCTCCAGTCCCCGTCCCTACCTTGTCCTCCCTCTTTAAGCCTCATCCCTCCCTCGACTTCCCTCTTCAAGTCCCATCATTCCATCTTTATCCCTACCTCGTCCTCCTTCTTTCTTCAAGTCCCATGACTCCCTCCTTTTGTCCCAACCCTTTCAAGCCCTCCCTTTTCAGATTACATAGTACTACGCATAGAAGTGTGACATAAATAAAAACACACATAAATTGCAGCTTGATAAAAAATAGGATTAGCAAGGAAAAAAGAGGTTCTAGTGTCTCTCTTCAGAATAAAAATATAGCTTTCAATAACATGAAAAAATTGCCTCAGAGAATGCTAAATAAATTGGGGTTAGAACGGTTATCAAGAGAAACTAGAGCAGTCTTACTGCCAAGTCTTCATTTACAAAAACTAAAAACCGACCGCACTTTACCCCCCCCCCTCCCCCGGCCTAACCATTCTACACCCCTCCAATACTGCAGTCTTAGATACACCCCTCTATTGCTCCAGAATAGTACCATTCTAAACCCCTCCAGGTTTAGATACACCCCTCCTATACTGCACTATTTAGTACTATTTTAATTATATCTTCTGTCCTTCGGCCAATAAACGTGAGAAAAATATGTTACCGTCATATTTCCGGCTTCAACTTAATATAAATCAAATCATTTAATAAGAAAAAAAGAAAATTAAGAGAAACACATTTATTTCTCACTGTTTCAGGGCTTTAATCTTGTGATTGACCATTTCTCTACACGATTGAAACTGCATTCATATTTTTTTTGCATGTTTATAAAAACCTAGTTTGGAAATTGAACAATAATAAGAAATATATATTTTTATATATGTATATTTCCCAAATGTGTTCAGAAGTCAGAACTTATGTGGAGTTAGTCTTGGAATCAATTTAATTCCTCTTCAATATCCCGTGGTGGTCATTCCCAGCTGGGATAATTTTTATAGAGGTATCAATCATGGATCCTTAAATTTATAAGTGCCTACAATGAATATCGAGAACAGGCGTTAAACATTAAGAACACTCCACACAAAAGTTCCAAACTATGAGAAAATACGAATTTTCTTCACAAATTGATTGAATTAAGAGGAAGCTTTTCTTTACAAGACTTAGAGAATCAAATTATTGGTTCTTCCTGTATAGAAGGGTATTCTCCTACACAGTGAGAATCAGAAAAGTGTGGAATAGGAAGACGTCAGTATTGCAATACCTAAGCGCATTTGATTAAATTACAAATTACAAATCAAATAAATTTACCAGTGACTCAAATCAGTTATTAAGTTAAATGGGTCTGTTTACGTGCTGCAACATTTCAGAATCTCATGTTCCGGCCGGCTATTTTAAGTCTTATCTTGATCTAAAGGTCGTCTTCCAAATCTGGTTCTCACTGAAGTACAATGAATAGCTAATGGTAAACTATGAAATCATTTAACCATTACAGAACTAGGACTTATCATGCTTCTAGACTAGATCAAGGTTAATCATTACACTCCACTATTTACAACTAATTAAACATACATATACTCAGGTTTATAATCAATCAATTAAACATCATTAATTCATTAATTAATTAATTGTTTAACTCACTCACATGTTTCACTGACGTTCTGCGCTATACATGTAGATTTTATTAAATATCTATGGATATTTTCATATAATAAAAGCTCATAAGAAACACGATAAGATTAAACTTTAGACATATTCTATAAAAAATAGGGTTAAGATCTGCAAAACCTCATAATTTAAGGCAGAAATATGGGAAATAAAGGCATTATTTAGCAGTACCAAACATAAGCCTTGTTTCATTTTTTTCTCTACAAATAATAGACCCCCACCATCACTTTATACACATACATCTAAACAGTTTTTTCTAACCTTTGTGACCGAAACAATCTCAAGTAATAATATTTGTCTTAAAACATTTTTTTTAAAAGTGAATATTTGCAAATTATCTTTTTTCCATTTTCCATTTTCTTGTGATTTTTAACAAACATTTTTTTATATTTTTTTTATCGATTTTGATGGTTATTATATCGTTAGAACTGACGAGGGTCACCCAAACAGAGATATATTTTCAATAAATGTGGAACTAACATCTACTTTTATACTCTACAGAGGTTTGGTCCATCACCATCACCGAATTTTAAATAGACTACAGGTCCGCGGTAAGGATAATCTTTGTCAATTTCAATATAATTTTCTTTTTCTGCGTATGCAGTATCACTCTGATCAAGGGTATTTAATGCTTGCGGAAATTATTTTATACAGGTTTAAAACAGGGTTTAGATCCTGTATTCAATTAATTCAGTTTAAGAAATAATTATCTTTCAATATGCATAATTAATCCTCTAAATAAATATATTTGCTTTAATAAGACCTAAAGAGCAATGGGACTCCCCTTTTTTCAATTTTTCTTTTAATTTGTACTTGAGGGAAGAAATCATTTTGTTTGCTAGAAATTTAGATGCACTAGGCTTTTAGGGCGCTTTGCGCCCATCTTATATTTTAATTGTAAACGTGTTCTCTTTGTGTACATCGTAAAACAAAACAAAAAAGTTCGCGGATTTAACAAAAAATTTCGTGGATTTTCAAAATTTTCAAGAATATAATGAAAATTGAATTTTGATGGAGACAAATATTTGAAATTTTGAACATTCATAAACCTTCTCTGTGGCCACGTGAGGTCCCACACAAAATTTGTGCATGATCGGTTCGGCCGTTTTGACGTTTATTGGATACAAACAAACAAACAAACAGACAAGCTAAATTTATATGACTAGAAATTCAAGGCGCTTTGCGCCCTTCTTTCTAGGCTTTTAGGGCGCTTCGCGCCCATCTTCTATTTAAATTGTGAACATGTTCTTTTTGTTTACATTTAAAAACAAAGAAGAAAATTTTTTTGCGGATTTAAAAAAATAATTCGCGGATTTTCAAGAATTAAATTTTTTTTACAAAATTAAAAACATTTAAAACACAGTTTTTTTAAAATTTTTGTCATTCATAAACCTTCCCTGTGGTCACGTGATGTCCCACACAAAATTGGGCTTGATCGGTTCAGCAGTTTTGACGTTTATTGGATACAAACAAACAGACAGACAGACAAGCCAAGTTTATATATAGATTAATTCTTTAATTAGATTTCTAAAATCATTCATAACCGAAATTTAAAAAAATAAGACTTTACAATTTCAATTTTTGTTGAATATTTGAAATGACCTCCAGTAAATGACAAGTTTACAAACTTCAAGTTCAAGTTAGTTATGTCTTTAGTGACAAAAAGTTCAAGTCGTCTGTAACTTATTAGTTGAGGCATGTTTGTATGTGTCACTGTATTTAAAATTTGACAATGTCAAATCATGACTTTTGATGCATGCAAATTGCAAATCAAGAGATATAATTTGCAAACTTAAATAAACTTATTTAATGTGCAAATAAATCTTCGAATTCAGATCATTCTGTTTATAAACTAGGGAAGTAGAAAATTTTAAGTACAAACTTCTTTTGCTATTGTTCTCAATATTTAACATATTATACACAGAATACAAAAATAAAAACTTTTTTCGGGATTTCATTAATTCACTAAATTAACTAATATAATTAATGCACTTACACGGCATGTTTTAAGTGTCCGAACCAAGTAGTATAAGCGCCGTGTGGCGCATTCTACTCGGCTGTGCACAATATCTTACTGACAGTTCTCACACGCGCGCATTTTCTCAAACTAGCGGCACTAGCGATGCCGGAGCCGTTCCTGTGCAAGGAAGAGTAGAATTTTATCAATAATAAGGAAGAGTAGAACTGTTTGAACAAGGAAGAGTAGAATTTTATCAATAATAAGGAAGAGTATAGCTGTATAAATAAAGAAGAGCCGAACTGTAAAAAAGTGAAAGTATGACATTACAAATAAAATCCATAAGTTCATGCATTTGTACAATATAATGTGTCTTTCACTTTATTCTTATTAAATTATAAGATGTGGAGATTTAGTCTGGTACAAATAGATTGTTAAGTACATTAGATGGCAACGTAGTATTTGTACACTCTCAGTACAGCTGTATTCTTACATCACAAGTGTATTGTGTCCGACAAAATTATTAATAATAATAATGATAATTGAAGAATAAAGTGCTTATCTTACAGTAAAATAAGTGCAAGTGCAATTTTATGTGTTCTTTATTATCTGTTTTTACACTTTTTTATTTAATCTTGAAAAACCTTTCAAATAATGTGAGAAAATTCCGTTTCCTTTGTTATATTTGATACTTGTGACGTCGTGTATAATTGATCCATTTCTCTGTTGCCACCTTTTGTACTTGATAATCTATTTTGTCTGGTATGCATGCAGTGTTGATATTGCTTTAAAGTTAATTTTAAGAATTAAAAAACATTGATCAACAGAAGTTTTTCTCTCATTTTGAGCTTTGTGCAAGATAACATGGATCTTACCTTGATTGAATAAAAGAATGATTTGTTTCTAAACCTCTGCAATTGTTTCTTAAATCTGAACAAATAAAAATGCACATAAGGTTTTAAAAAACAGATAAATGTAACTAGAATGAGTACGGGTTGAGGTGTTCAGAAACATTGAATGTGCTCGAGATTCCAGGATATGCCAGATAAACTGTTGTCTTTAACTATCCATCATTAACTCCGACGCATTATTAAAGAAAAATAAGATACTTTCGTTGTACTATCTCGGCTGATCTAAAATAGGAATATGATATCGATTTTTCATATTAAAATTGCATGGTAAAAAATTTTAAATTTTTTTGTTCGAAGTATACCATCAATTAAATCGAGAGGAAAAACCTTTCCTTGACTGACAAAATATAGCACTTTAAATTAAAATTTTTCTGGTTAAAATTAGGAATAGCAATGAACAATTTAAAGCAAAATAAAAGTCATCTTAAAAGGACTGTTAAGGTAAAATGAAAGTGGATATAAGCTGAAGCCAAAATATTAGCTCTATCTGATGTGTCTTGAAAAATTGATATAAAACTATGACAAAGTCATACAAAATCTTATCTTTTGTTCAAATAAACTGGTTTACTAAGAAACTTTGACTGTGATATGTTGCCATAAGGGGCATCTTTTGATTACAAGCTTAATTCATATATATAACTGTTTATTTCTTTAGAAACAATCATCTGCTAAAGATTTTTAGGATTTTTTTTATCTTTTCTAACTAACCATTTTTAAAATTCGTGATTTCCCTTTTTCGTACGACGTTACCTTATCCATAGTTTAAGTTTTGAATGTTACTTTGTAGATTTTTCATTTATATTTTGCGGATTTTTAAGGTTTCTAGAAACCCTTTACCTTACTATTATAACAAACATTACTCGTCTTTAAAATTGTGATTTTGCGAATTTCCAAAAACTTTAATGTCAACCATCTGTCATCTCGAATCCTTATATCCATCCAAAAATCTTAATATTACTAAACCCAAACGAAAAATGTCCTGTTTTAAACCATGCTGCACTATTTTTCATTCAAGGTTTAAGTCATTGTATTTGGAAAAATTTAATAAAAGAGAACAAATTACTTTACCTCTGAGATACCCAATCCATCTAATCTATACTCGCTGCTGAGAACTAGAAAATGTACATTATTCTGAAAATGTAGAAATTCTATTTTAAACTGAAATATCACAGATATATTTTATGAGATCTAAAAATAAGTTATTTTACATTTTGGTCATGTAAAGGCGAACTCCTCATTAACTTAATATTTCTTTGAGAGTATCATTGCTATAGAGACAGACGATATCCAACTCTCTTCCAAATATATCCTGAGCTCTCATCTCTTCTTCCTCAGTCTCCGGGTTCAACTTCTCTCCGTCCTGCTCCTGACTAGTTTTATCTCTACCTAGAACCCTCCTGGCTGTATTCTCTTGCAGTGTGATCCAAACTCCTGCAACCTGAACCACCAGGTTCAGATTACTCCTGAGAATCAAATATTTTTTATTTCACTAAGAAGAAAGTAGTTCAAATACTTTTCATTATCACTATTACCAACAATAAGAAATGTCAAGCTATAAATGCAACTAGGACTAAACCAATGTTTTATGTACAGGGTTACCCACAAAGGATGAGACTTCAAAAACGATTGTACGGAATTTCTTTAGTCTGTTTTCTTACATTTAGGGTTCCTTGTAAGCAGAAACCAAAAATCAAGATTCAAAATTTCAAATCGTCATATTTTGAGTTTTGGGTGGTCTTTACAGTCTTAGCCTTGCCCTTTTTGGATAATCCTATAATAAAAAACCTTCTGAACTTGCTCTTTGCAAATGGTAATCAAATTACATCCAAATTGATGGACGGAAACTAAAGACTAATTAAAAATACACTTTTCCTAAGATTTGAAGAATGACACTTGATGCACTCCATCTCCTGAGGGTGGATCTCTTCTCCTTCGCACTCCTCGCAGGAGACCCATTCTACACTTTCACCTTCATTCACACCGGAAACCTACATTCAACATGGTCTTGTAAACACATTGCGGCATTCGCTAAAGTTTTAAATATAACAACAATAATATTTCAAGATTTTTTACAATAATAAATTTATCAAAAATTATAGTTTTTTTTTCTGATCCGAAAAGGCTGAACCACAGAATTAAACGCCAATAATACGTGACATCTTTGGTTGTCAGCAAACTTTTGTGTGGCTTGTTCAGTATTTTTGCTTTTTTTAACGACAGAGCTTCTAGAGAGCTCATATCTTTTTATTTAAAAATATTAATCCCATATTTAAACCTTTGCTTATATAGAAAATTATATTTTTATTTTATTTTCACTTTAGTCAAGTTATCAAAATATTATTAAAATAACAATATCGAAATCCTTCATTGCTGATTTAGTGATCCGATTAGGTCACGGTGACAACAGTATCAAATTCCTTAAAACGTCACTTTTTCTCAGAGACAAAACTTTTAAAGATTTTGATTAATAAGTTTAAAAATACTTTCCTTTAACTCTTAAACATGAATTTCGAGTATGAAAGATTAATTTCTAAAACGTTCTGATGCCTAACCTGTCCAACAACCCTAACAAGATCCCCTTCAGTATAGGCTTGGTCTGTAGGACGGAGAATATCCTTGTATGGAAACCTTTCCTCACTCTGTATCTGCACATACCCAGAGTAATGATCCAGGAATAGTTCTCCCTTCTCAAACCAGACTCCGTACAAATGGATCATACCAGATCCAGAACGCGGAAGAAAAGTTTCCTAACAGTTAAAGAATAATATGTTTTAAATTCTTTTCAGCTCTTTTGACAAAAATTATGATCTAGATACATTTAAAATATTAATATGAGAAGTTAATCATATAAAAATTTGAAAACGTGGCCGAAAGGAAATACTCAGCATATGTTCTTTTTATAATTTAATTCCTTAATACCTGAGTATATTTAATTGAATGGAGAGGATAAGCCTGTATATCTGGACAGAAAACATTATGAACGTAAATCTTCATGTTGATCTTGTCTTTAAACACTAGAACACATTCCAGGTTTAATCTTCTCCCTTTATCACAAGGTTCTGTCTTCAGCTGACCTGGACGGAGGAGAACTGGAGCCTGGAGAGATTTATCCAGAATCTTCATCCTGGAACAAGGATACACCTTGAGGGTGTAGTAAAACCTCTGCTTGGGTTTCCTGATACCTGAGACAAGTTGATACAATCGGGAACATTTATTCCTGACAGTTCTAGTATGAGGAAACAGTCCTGATATTTTTACAGTGGATCCAATTAAACCTGCCCAGTCGCCATCTGAACATAACATTTTTCAATATTATTAAAGGGAGTGACCGGCAATGTATGGTGGTTGAACTAAACAATAAACATGTAGTATTGTGGACAAATTTTTTAGAATTCATTTGAGACATATAAAACGTTTCTACGACGTATTTTTACTGAGTTTGAGCGTAAAGTCGAAGTTCAAAATCATGATTTTTGGGTGGGTACGTTTTCAGAATCGTTTTTATTAAATCATTAAATAACGACGACAAAAAATGTAACTAAAAATCTACAGTAAACTGATTGGTTGTATAGAAACAGGTTGAGAACATAAAAATTAACTCTTATCATCGAAAATAAGCAATTTTATTCAATTATTAGTTTCTATAATATCTCATTATACACAAAGATTTTCTTGAATTTTTTTGAATTTTTATTGAAAAGTTAACATTTGAAGAATTTGTAGAAATCTGCGAAAAAATTCATAGAAAATAAAAATTCTATATAATGATGAAAACGAAATAATAGATTCTAACATTGATTTATTGACAAATTTCTATAGAGAAAAATGTTTCTAAACACTTAGTTTACTGTATAATTTTTACTTTTTTTTCGTCGTCGTTATTTAATACTTAAAAAAAACGATTCTGAAAACATACCCACCCAAATTCATGATAATGAATGTCGAATTTTCACTCAAACCCAGTAATTATACATCGTGGAATCGTGCTATATGTCTTAAAGGAATCCTAAAAAATGTCTACAATACTGCATACTCAGTTCAATCACCATATATTGGGGGTCACTCCCTTTAGCGTTTATTAGGAACACAAAGCAGGTATAATAGATACAAACATAGAGAAAGCTATTATGAGGTGTGCACTGTACGTAAGTATATATTTTAGGAATGAAAGACTGGTGAGGGTAATGTTACATCGTCTATACGCAACATCCCCGCTACTGAACTTCTGACCTACTAACTTTCCGACCTACGCCAGGTGTTTATTTTCGAGGGTTAGGTTAGTTTAAGATAATTTCTGGGCCGAGCGCTACGGATAGGGCTGGCTAGGGGGCCGAACACCACGGCTAGGCTAGACTAGGGGGCCGGGCGCTGCGGCCACAAGTTCATATAGCAGCTTTAAAATCACGTGCTGGCAGGTCGGATGTGTAGTATGGCGGATTTGCGTAAGTCGAAAAATACAACATTGATAATCAAAATTGTAAATAGTAATAATGTTAAATCTTACATTTATCAATTCACAAAAAGTGGTATTTTCCAATTGCTATCCAAAGGTATCATTGAGTAATTTGAGTAATTTTGATTTGTTTAACATAATGCTTGGACAGATTATCCATTGTGAAATTGCAATCTTCTGCAATAAAATTCATATTTTTACATAAAATTGTTCGATGCTTTTTTTACACAGATTAAAAAGAAGACGGATACATAGCTTATTAGTGAATTTAATCTGTCTATTGGTGACTAATCAAATCCAAATCCTTTTGATATATTGCTGATTTCATAAAACCTGCTTCTTGCGATATACTGCTGGCGAACCAACTCCTTCCCATATATTGGTGACTGATATGAAATAAAACTCAATCCTTTCGATATATTGTTGACTTTGTGAAAACCCACTTCGTCGGTCTTCCGATATATATGTGACTTAATATAACCCACACCCTCCAATAAAAAATTACATAATAAAACCCAAGTTACTTTATTGCTGATTTAATAAACCCAATTCTTTCCGATGTATGGCTTAATATAACCTAACTCTTCCAATATACAATAAAAAATGACAAAATAATTATAATGCGTTGTATAAAAACATGCTAACAAAACAAGTTTTCAAAAGTTGAACAATAAAACGAAAATCTCCTTCCTTATAAAGAGAATTTCTTTTATATAAAATTGAATCTTACCCAACATAGGCAACCATTCCCTAGGTGCATCCTTGACATCAGAGTCAAGTTTAACAAGAAGGAAGTTCCCCCGATTATCCTCGGCCAGGAACCCTGTCTCCGTCTCCAACCAGGTCTCATCATAGAGAGGGTTCCCAACAGTTCTCATCCGTAGGACGGGTTGCAGGATCCGGAGAACCAGGATTGGGAACCGAGTATTTAAACTGAAAAATGAAAAAATAAATGTAAAATTTGAACAAAATAGAAGAAAGATTAATTTCATTAATTCACATATTTACTATAATTAGAATATGATAATCTTATGAGGAAAAAAATGTAATAATGGAAATTCTTAAACGAGATGAAATAATCTTGATGTATTCTTTAACGAAGATTATTTCATCGAGTTTAAGAATTCCATTATTACATATTTATCCTCATAAGATTATTATTATATCATATTTGTGAGGTTCCATGGGCACATACCCAAGAAAATATATTAACAAATAATTCTGGTGAAATCCGACTATTTCAAGTTGGAACAGTTCACATGATGAAAGGTTGCAAATAAGTTTTATGCTCTTGTTCTGACTAACACTGTTTTTTATTTTTCTAATGTTAAAATGTCAAAAACATTTTAGAAGTAAAAATTGGTTCTTAATTTTTGAAAGTAATGCATGTGGTGTGAGTGTTTCCTTAGTTTAGTTTGTTTGTTTACCAATTTCTAATTATTTTGCTCGTTTTTTAAGTTGATACTACATTTAGATACAGCATGTATCTGAGTTTTTTTGGATGGAGAGAAGGTTTAGTAGTGGGTTGTCATAATCTACTGAACAATATCGTGTCTTCATTTATAGAAGAAATCATTTTCTGGATATTAGATCCTAAATCTTCCGAAAAGAGGAGATAAAAGTAAGAATCAGTTCGACATAAACTGATGAAGATCTTTGTCTTTTATTCATGAAGCAAGATTTACTGGTTTGTTTTCATTGCAATGGAGTGCTAAGACTCCATTAAAAGTGTGACATTAATATTTCAATGATAAGTTTTTATACTTTTTTTGGTTTTGATTGTGGTTTCACTTCATCTCGAACTATGCGAGATATGGTGACTCAGACTGATAAGCTCTACGCCAGGTGTTTA